GGCGCCGTTGAAGACGAGTGCTATTTGATTATATGGGACGCTGTCACATAAATATTATCGATTATTACAGCTGGTTTCAGACGCAGGCGTCAGCGAAGAAGCACTAAGAGGCCGAACTCGAGGACATGATGAAAACACAAAACGAACATTTCAAATGTTGTCGCGTTGCCTCTGCTCCCTCTCTTCTCACAACTCTATTTCGGACTTTCATCGTCGCTGCTGGAACTTGAACTGCTGTCACTGCTCATCTGTTCAACCTTGCTGACAGGAGGCGGATTCATTCTCGGTGGAGGACTAACGAAGTTTATATTCACTGTAGGAGATACCATACGAGGAGAGTTCTGCAACAATAATCGATATTATGTGATCACCAGAAAATTCGTACAGCAAAGTACCTCTCCCATATGACTGGTTCGTTTTTGGAATGGCGAAACACCTCCAGGACCTCCACCTCTTCCACTCCACTGAGCACCCCCTCGACCTCGTGGAGATGGACTGGCTTGTTGGTACCTGGATATTCGAAGATTACTTCGAAAACAAAATCTCACATGTAAGCATTTAGCTCAATAATCCAAAAACATTGGGTGCAAAGCGGCACCCCATGGTATCAATACAACAACAAAAAACTACAAATGAAGGAACATGCATATTTTGTCACGGTCAATTCAAAAACCGTTCCCTCCATTCAATCCAACAGTTGTTCAATCATATCCAGGATTGAACAACTGTTGGATGTCTCCATGACCTCTAATGCATGTGACACATGACACACTTTTTGTTGTAGAAAAAATATCGCGGAATTTGAAGAAAAAACTCTCTTCGAAAAAGGTTTTTTGAAAGGAAGCTACGTGTGAGGTTCTTTAGTATTTGCGGTGAACACATGTCAGACTGAATAAGAGTCAGAAAGCAAGAAAGGGAATGGCAAACTTCTTTAGATGGCAAAAAACCATGAACAAACCCTGTTCCCGGGCTCCATACTTTTCCTTGAACTGGCATTTGGGGCATTCCTGTCATCGGCGATGATACTCGTC